GTACTTGTCATTCTTGTGAAGCAATGAAGACGACAATTGGAAACAGCGAAAGTGGAAAACGCCTCCCCCCCCCCGCACCACCAAGCCAAACTGCGCCACACTTTCCCCCTCTTCGTCCGCAATGAAAACTTAGAGGGCAGAAGCTAGAGAAATTAACTATAGTGTAAGTTCCTTTACAAAAACTCACATTATCAGGGTCCTTATTGAGGCAAAGCTCGACAAAATCCTTGAATGAACGCGACCATTGCGGTCCAGTGAGCTGTGGCGGTGGATTTTTGGGGATCAGAAACAGTACACGCATCGGATGCAGGTCTGAGTGAGGCGGTTCGCCTTGGGCCAGTTCGATGGCTGTTATTCCAAGCGACCAGATATCAGCCTCAAAAATGATTCAATTACGATGGCTTCTAAAAAAAGTATGCCCCCTCTAATCAATTAAAAGCATCGGCGAGGAATGAGACGACTCGGAAGAAACCATGGAATTCCCCAAGCTCATTCCGGAATCATCTCAAACCGTCCATTCTTGACGACTTAAAGACTATTAAAGGCCCTCTACACCCTTTAATAGAGAAAATTGAACAGAGGGTAAAATAAGGCTCGAAAGGAAGCACAAAAGGAACGAAGGCAAAACGACAAGTACCACACCTTTGTAGTCATAGCTAGCCTTGTTTGATCAACTCAGGCGCCATCCAAAACGGTGAACCGACGAAGGTGATCCGCTTCTTCACTGTTTCGGTCAGCTGTCCAGCAACACCGAAATCTGCTACTTTCACATCGCCTTGTTCACTGACCAACACGTTAGCAGCTAGAAAAGCGAGGGATGATTGCTTTCACTATACAGAAGTAGGAAAAAGGCGATTTTCAGATCTTAAGTATGAGCATTCAGTGTCTTATACTCCTCTATTACACTCAGTAATTCTGGTTAGAGATGGTGTGTATACCTATAAAATAGCAAAAGCCGTTGTTGCCCGTTGATCAAGTCCATATTCGAGTACTTGTCTCTCCCCCATGCATTGCAGATTTCAGGTTCCGGCATCAAAGGCGCGAGGATCGTTATTGCAAAAACGACCTTTCATACGCGTTGCGCCTATCCACACAAGACCTACCTACCACCCCTCTCAGTTTTCCAATTTCCTCCCCTGTTTTATGCCAGTTTTACAGCTGCAGTTTCCTAAAAAAAGTCAGTAAAAGAGGAGGGAGGAATGGGGGAACGGGAGGAGGATATATAGAACACTTGGGGCAGGAAAAAGCGAAAAAAAAACACTATCAGGGACATTTTTGCAACGCTCTTTCGTTCGTGACCAGATACGATCCCCTCGCTGTCCTGTGACTTTCCACTGCACAGCTTCGTCTGCTGGCCAGCTATGCTCTAATCATATAGGGTGCAAAAAAATTGACTTTACTTTACTTTCTGCGCTCTCTTATTCCGGCTTGGAGTTGTCAGAGGTTTTATAGGACTCTACAAAATGATCCGACACATTTACAGGGATGCACAAAACGCTATGATGGTGTCAGCACTGGTTGACGGAAAGAAACGATACGAGGGGCGGATATCGCTTTTCATAAAACGAGCATGTCTGGAGAACTCGTACAGGAGGCTGCCAGGATCCCTGCTTAGGGTGTTCTCCAGGACTTTTTCTTTTTTGCTTTTTTCCTTCCCTGGATAATCAATCAGCGACTTTAGGTTTGTAATTGCAGTCAAGGGGCTTGCCTTTAATAAATTCTTGGTTTGAATTCTAATAGCCGATGGGATGCATCTGCAAGAGTTACTACATTGTGGAAGGAGCGCTACAAAATCGCACAGAAACATCCAAACACCCCAAGCTAGCAGTCAGACAACACGAAAAACACGACATCAGGTGTGGAACAGCAGCAGAGGTGTGAGCAAACGATCGAGGGAATCGAACAGTTAGAAAGTTGCTCCACCTTTGAATCGTATTGACCATATTGAATAACTTCTGGTGCCATAAAGAATGGTGTACCAACAAATGTGTTCGCTTTCAACCCGGCTACCGTCGATAGAAAACGTGCAACACCAAAATCACCCAATTTCACATCACCGGTTGCATCATCCAATAAAACATTAGCTCCTAAAGTGACGCACTACAAATGCTATTCCATAGCAGCGCGAAATGTCAACAAACCAAGCTGTACCGCTGTAGATAAACAACAGAAACCCCTACGCATAAAAGCACAAATCAATGGCGCTATCAAAATAAGTGAGAAAAGAGCTCAAATATTAAAAAAAACTGATGAAAGAGGAAGTTATTGCAGAAGCACTTGGATGTTCCAAAACAGCGATTATCAGGGGATAGCTCAAAGAATGAAAAAAAAACTACTGTTTAGGATCGAAATCATCGTAAAGTCATTAGTTAAGGGAATTATGTCATTACTTGGCAAAAGAATGAAACGGTACGTTAAGGAAGCTCACCCTTGATATCGCGATGAATCTTCCTCTCA